TCCGCCGAATGCGCTCCCGTAGTGCTGCCAATCTGCTCTTCCACGTCACTTCTTGCGGCGGCCTTTGCCACCCCCCTTCGTTTTCGTCTTGTCGAGCAGCTTCTGAGCCATCATCCCTAAGTGCCCCTGAGGGGCTGCTCCCCATTTCGCCTTCCCGCCGAGGTCCTTCAGCATAATGATCGTCGCGCTCTCGATTTCTAGCCGGCTGTAAAAGATCTCGGGGCGACTGTCGACCGCGAGCGTGTAGAGCGAATCGGCGATGGAGAACTGGATGCGCACGCACTCGTCGCTATGGCATTTCTCGAGCCTGAAGTGCTTGATCATCAGCGCGAGCTCTTGTACTGAGGCCACCGACGCGAACTTCTCGGAGAACTGCTCGATGGCCATGCGTGTCTGCGGCTTGTTGGTCTGAAGAGCTGGCGACTCCGCTAGCCACTTGTACGCGGCGCGCGCGATGTGCAAATGAGGGGGCCCGAGCTGCGGCTTGATGGCCTCCGTCTGTGCTGCCTGGGAGTGCTGCTTGCCTTCTGCAAGGCCTGCCTTGATCACCTCTGAGACCGTCGGAGTGAGGATCGAGAGCCATTCTGAAGCGGCGAGGTCGCGGAGTTGCTGGGCGCGTTGGCAGGATGGCGTGAGTAGCGCCATCAGCGCCTGTCGCATGTCTTTCTGCTTGAGCGCGCCCTCGGCCCACGCGGGAGCCTCTTCTGCAGTTTCTGCCATCTCTGCCAGCTTGGCATTTTTCCCGTCGGGGGCCGCCTGGTGCCCTGACGCGCCGCCTGCTGCCGCGCCCTCCGCCGCTTCGCCCGCGCCGCCTGCCGCGGCGAACGGCTGGTGACGCCTGAGCAGGGCGTCCAGGTCCATGGCCATGAGTCCGCTCTCGGGCGGAAGCGTGCCTGCGCAATCCGCGGAGGGGGGAGTGCGCAGTGTCCACGTATGCGATTCTGAAGGTCGCGTAGTTTTTGAGCCGTGAAACTGCACGCAGGGCATGCCAAACTCCGAGGTTGAACCGTTTCCAAGAGACCATGAGAGCTTCTACCGTGGCAACATGCGTTCTTCTGATACGGTCTCATAGCGTGCCTCTGCGCGTTCTCCCCTGTGCTGAGAGTTTGAAGACATCTGAAGCATTGATTGGCCACGGTCAACAGAAAGGCTTCGTTCCGAACCCGATGGGCCCGTCCACCGCGTAGAAGTAAACATTTCATCGTGGGGGTAAAACTCACCGCAAACTCTACCTTCTGCATCGCGCATCTTACATTCGTAGGGCCTCGGTCGTTCGCCCCCCCCCCCCCTCCCCCCCCGCCTGCGCCGTCTCGTCGCGCGCGTTCGAGTCGGTCGGCGGCCCGATGGAGTGCGAGAGGAAGCTCGCTCGGATGATCGTGAAATCGATGCCCACCCACTTCGAATAGTCGTCGCAATGGAACAAAAGCAAAAGTGCAAACTCAGAGGAGGCCAGGTCCTGAAGTTATCATGAGATTTCGTGCCCGAGCTTCGAATCGTGAAACACCTGCTGGGCCCAGGGGTTCGCTTGCGGGGTGCGGCCCCAGTGCTCGTCGATCGCGCCGTCGCCCCCCATTTCCCCCGGAATCGCTGCTCGCGCCTGCCGGTGACAAGACGGAAACTGCGCCTAAATCTGGCACCACTTCAAGCGTCGCACCTGCAGTTCCTGAGACGTGGGGAGGATGCGCCAACGCAGCCACGACCGTTGCGAAGGCCATCTGCGCATCTCACCGCACTCATGCCCCGAAAGGCCGCGGGCCCCCAGTCCCCGCCGAATAGCGCGAAGTACGATCTGATCCGAAGCCTGAGTGTAAGATTCATCTGGAATGCGACCTTCCATTCCCGAAAGCAAGCTGCGCACAAACAATGCTCGACATTCGCTTGATGCTGGTCGTCGCGTCGCGCACTAGAAAGCTCGATATCAGTCCTGGTCCTGTTCGCCCCTCTCGTAATCGTCTAGCTCGTTCAACGGGTAGAGAGCCAGAGATAGTGAGCCAACCTCCTAGAATTCTCACGAACCTGCCACGCTGCCCAGGGTAGGGAATGGAGCCCGAGTGAAGTAACCCCCCTTTGTGCAACGCAGCCCGCCCCCGCAGACGCTCGCAAGCGTCGCCCGCTCACCATCGTTGAGTCGAACACCTGCAGCCTCCAAGTGCGAGGAAAGACGTCTGCTGCTGGGGGGCGATAGAGCCAGTAAAAGCGCCGCCCGCCCCCCCCCCCCCCCCCGCAGGGCGCGGTGGCGGGCCCGAACCTGGAATCGCGCGCGTCGTAATGTCGTCGGCGTAGATCGCGACCCCCACGTCCGTCGCCATCTCGTCGGGTTCGCGTGCGACCGCGTACTGGGCCGAGCTGGTAGAATTACGATGCGACAGGAACGGGTCGATCCCCATCTGGTAGTAATACCGGGAGGCTCTCGCAGGGCCAGGGTGTCCCATCATCTCCCCCGTTGTTGCTCTAAGAGCTACTGGTCCTGGGTGAGTTTCCATCTGAAAGGCCCTCTGGATAGTCCGAGTACGTTGGAATCTGAGGTCCTCTGGATCGTGCAAGTCCCCGATAATCTCTGAGATTGTGTCCCTTTTTATACTGGCGAAGGCGTTCGTGGCATCCTCGCTCACAATCGCGCGAGATAAACCTTGGCGTCGAAGTCGCCACGAAACGCGTGCTCGCACTGTAATAGCGCCCTCCCGTCGTCGATGTCGCGCGAACCCGCGACAACAGTAAGGGAGAGACGGTCGAACTTCGCGCCCTCGATGCCATAGATATGCATTCCAAGCCTTGTCGATCGGGCAAAAGAGATCGATCCGCCGCTGGCCCGCGGACCCTATCTTCCCTGTGCGCCTGTCAAGGCCAACGCATGAGGATATGTCGAACAGCAAAGGGGTCGTCATCGTCCGTCTGAAGCTGGCCAGGATATCCAATAACCACTCGTTGAAACCCTGCGCCGTAGCCGGCTTGGTATCGCCACCGAGCCCGCCTCGTGTAAATGTTCTACATTGCTCTTCATCCAAGAGAACCAACCATAGCTCCGAAGGCATGGACCACCGAGGTGTTTCCCTCCTCTTGGGGGAGCGGCCTCGTTGGGAAATGATGCCCGTGAGGTCGTTCTCTGCTTGGGTGAGATCCGAGAACTGCATCGCGTCATCTCTCTGCTGGTCTGTGCGTGTAGCGTCGCCCCCATCGTGTCTCGCGTCGAACCGCCCCTCCAGTTCTCGTGTAAGATCGCACTCCTGAGCCCCAAGTCCACCTTCGGTAGCTGGCTTCAGCAGGTACTGCTTCACCTGAAGGGCCTCGCAATTCTCGCCCCGTGCCACAAAATAGCGTCGATGTCGTGGTCCCCGTCCCTGTCGAGACAGTCGCCTCACCCAGCGTTGCGCGGTGGCGTGATCTTGACGAGCCCAGGTCTCAGTAGGCTCCGTCGTGATGGCGGCGTTGCGCTCGATAGTGAGGTCTCTCGATACTCGTCTGATGCGAAATGTAATCATTGCCTGTCTCAGTTCAATATATTCACGTTCGGGGTGTTCGCCGCCATCTCGAAGGAACTCCACTGCTTCAACCAATTGTCGTATCTCCTTTCTGGGTGTAAGTAGTTGTGTGCGTTCTGAATCCACTTGAGCTTTTGTTTGTTCCAAAGCCGTCGTTTTTTCAAACTCCTGCTGCGCCTGCTGTGCGATCAGAGATGCCACCGTGTTTCAAACCTCGTCCGTGTTCGGTCTGCTGCATAAGCGAATCAAATTTCCTCATCGATGTCCGGAATAGCCTGGTGAATAGCTTCAACTGCATTGTGGCAAAATTCTTCACCGCGCAGCATACCCATAATCCTGTCGTAGTCCCAAGTGTGTCGCTTGTGAGAGCAAGCCTCGAAGGTGTAAAGGAACTCGAGGTAGAGAGGTCGATGGTCTCGTGTGTCCTGTGTGTTTATCGCCTGCAAGCGATGTCCAGCTGATGATAATGTTTTGCAACTAGCCACATATGGGCGAAGGCCCTGCGGGATATGAATAGAGTCGATGCGTGAGCTGTAACCTCCAGCGCCGAAGGAGTCCCCAGCTGGGTAGAACGTGTCTACCGCCATAAGGTGCAGATCGCGTAGAAATTGATGCCAAAGACGCCCAGCCAACCCCTCCTCTTCTGCTGCGAGAATACCCACGGCTAAGTCTGCCTCCTCAGTCTTGGGATCGTATCCGATGGTCAACTCCCCCTCGCAACGGTCGTCCGAGTTATATCCGGGTCTGTCGTTGAGGTCCACTCCAATAGCGGGCGTGCACCTCGCGCCAACTCCTTCCACCAACGATCGTGTCCATGATATCATAGCTTGCGCTGTGGTACGATAGCTGTCCTTCGAGCTTCAACACGACGACTGCATTGGGAAGTACAAGGCGATGAGAAGGATGTCCGAGGAGCTCGTGCTGAAATAGACTATGTCCCGAATCGGCTGGTTGGCATCGGCACGTACCAGGGCGTATCACCGCACTCATGTTCGAGAGCTCTTCCGATATCTCCATGGCCCTCGTGGGCCCCGTCAAGTGCATGGGGTTGTATGTGCACGTACGGAATCGCTGAGGTTTGGGAAGGGACTGCGCGCCAGACTCCATCTGAATAGTGAGAAAGTGCAATACCAGGTAGGCCATGTCGGGAAGACGCCGTCCTGGCGACGCTCGCGGCGCGACTATTCTCTCAGCAGGGGCGGAGCGGGCCCTAAGAGAGAAGACAAAACATTCCGCTGCTGTCCAGTACGGTGTACCCCTGACGTGTGTGTACGTGTGGTCTTGCCCGCTGAGCGGCTAGAAGGAGGATGAGGAGGAGGAGGAGGAGGAGGAGGAAGAGGAGGAGGAAAAGGAGGAGGAGGAGGATGAGGAGGAGGAGGAGGACCTCCCGACGCCGAGGAAGAGGAGGAGGAAGAGGAAAACGAGGACGAGGAGGAGGAGGAGGCGCACGAGGACGAGGCGCACAAGGAGGAGGAGAAGCGGGCAGCGGAGGAGGACCGGCGGCGCGGCGAGAGAGGCGGCCTGGCGTGGCGGACTTGCGCTTCGCGCCCTGCAGGGCGCTGGCCGCCGCCGCCTCTCTCGGGGGCGGGGGGGGGCCTCAACGAGACGAGGATACCGTCGCCGCGCGGCACGGGCTGCCAGGGGTGCCATCGGGGGCGCTGGAGGGGCGGGTCCATCGGGGGCGCTGGAGAGGGCGCTGGGGCTTTGCTGTGATCCTGCTCGTTAACATTTGTCACGTGTGCGGAGCTACGCTGTCAATGCCGCGCTTCTTGTGGCTTTGCTGCGTTCCTGCTTTCTGCTCGCAACGCACACCGCCCGAGGCGGCGGAGAGCTTGAGAGATCCACCTACCAAATGTGGGTCAGCGCAGCATGCCCCGAGCCATGTGCTCGGACGAGAGGGGGGGGCAGGGAAAGCACCGAAGACAGTGGGAGCGAAGGCACGTCCGAGACGTACTGGCCCTCTCCAGCACAGAGCCTCTGTGACGCAAACAAGAGTGGACGGCGGCATACTCGCCACGCGTGAGCGCAAGGGGCAGCATCGCGACGCCAGGAGATCGTTCTTCGCTTTTCGGTGATGACCCCGGTTATCAAGTGGTGTGGGGAGGCAACCGATAACCTGACATTTTCGCTCTGGGCAACCCCACGTATGCCCGCGCGCACAGACATCGCGTACCCCCTTCGGATCTGCGCAATCGACAAGGTCAAATTATCCGGGGGGTGGGTGGGCTGGCCCGAAAACCCGGGTTATCAATAGACCCTTCAACAAAACAATCTGCAGCGAAGTCGTCCACGGACAAATCGGCAGGATCGGCCTTCGTCTGTGACTGGCGGAACCAATTTCTGGGCCCTTGGATCGTCAACGAACGACTCGGGTCGACAGGTCTGCGGGTCCATGTCTGGAGAATTCCGAACCGCCAGATGACTGGGCATGAGGTGCAGTGCGGACGCGGTCGCAAAGAACCCTCGCAAAAAAACCAAACCCTGAAACCCCGTTCGGGAGATGCAACTGAGGGGGGAACGCTGAACACCCTGAACGCAACAACTTCTCTACCGGCCGCGGGAAGTCATCGCGCAGAGTGCGGAGCGCTGAAATCCAGGGTAACCTGACGAAAACCACCTGGCTTCTTGATGCGCGCCCTCACCGTACTAGCCGTCGTTGAACGCCACACCGGACCCAGGTCGCGGACAGCCCCCGAGCGCCGAGGGCGCTGAAACACATGGGCGCAGCGCGCCCCCGACGGGGGGACGCCCCCGACGCGGGCGCTTCCCAGACCCCCGACGTCGGGATCTGTTGGAAGCGTGGGCCCCCGGGTCTCCACGCCCTCTCCAGGATCGGCCTGTGATCCCGACCGGGCGAGGCTCCCCCACGGGCACAAACTGAGCACCAACAAGCTTGTCCGTCGTGGTCCTCTCACGGCGCGAGGAGGTCCGCTTACTGAGGAACGCACGGTCATGGCCTTGCGCCCGTCACGGGTACGTAAACACTGGGCGCGCTGCCCAACAGGGACCCACAGCGAACGTCGTCCGAAACCAACAGCGGCCGCTGTCGAGCAGGCGACGTTTGCCCCAACTGTCCAAAACCCTCAGCGACGCCGACAACGAATTCTGCTCAAGATGGGCAAGAGCCGCTGCCAGTCTTCGTCCCCATAGTTTCCGTACACGTTTCTCGGACGAGGGCCAGGCACTTGAGATGACGGCGGCTCTTCCGCCTAGCCCACGCCCTCTCCCCTCCGTGGCCCACGCTGGCCCGTGTTGCAAGAAGATCCAACCGCGGCGACGAGAGCCTCGAGGGGAACCCAAACACAACAAACAAACGCACGGGATAGCCGCCGTCACCTCGATTGGTCCCCCCCCCGAATTTCGATAGCACCGATCTCCCTCCCCCAATAATGTGCGAAGGAAAGGTTGGCCGAAAGGCCGATCCCCTCCCGAGTTTCCGTCGGCAAACGCGGTGTGATGGGAGATGATGGAGGGTTTGCCCTTCTCCGCAAGTCCTACAGCAACTAGGTCGCACATACCTGCGAACCGAAAGGGTCATCGGGCACGGGAAATGGTAGGGAAGGCGTGGGAGTAACTTTGCCCCCCCGTCCCGAAACCTACAAGCGAGACGCCGAAGCGAAACGCAAAGGACGGCATTCGATAGCGAAAACAAATAGCCCGGAACCTGACCAAACTGTACACCACGCTGTGCAGCCCAAGTCGGTAAGCGAAGTAAGAAAGGACTGCCAGTCACGGCACCTCCCTGTCCACCCGTAGCGCAAGCCCAAAAAACTAGCGCCTACGAGGGTGGAGAAGCGCGAAAGGCAGGGCGGAGCAAACGAACTGCGCACTCAAGTGGGCAATCGCGTCGCTCGGCAGCGTCGAACGGATGCAAGCCCATTGTAAAGTGATTACAAGGTAACAGCACACATGGACGGGCAGTCGCGACACTCTGTTGCTGACGCGAGTGAACGGACTGGGTTGCCCCCGCCCAGTGGAGCTTTTCTATTGGAATTATTCGGGCGCCGTGCTAAATGCACGCCTCCCGCGTATAGCAGAGTAACACGCTAGAGGAATACTATTTTTCCGAACCAAGCAAGGGGCCGAACCATCTTGCAATGTGTACCCAGCGAGTTGGGCGAGCCCAGTCTTTGCGTTGGCTCTACCTGCTGTCTCGCGAATCACAGGATGCGACTGGCATAACCAAATTATTTCATGTGTTTCGATTATCGACAACATGTGCAATACTACGATGAGCAATTCATATATTTCATGTAGAGCGAACGCCACTGTGTCATTAACACCATCATCGAAGCCCATCCCAGCTACATAATTGAATATCAAATATCGATGTGTGGCAATGGGGATGTGGAAGGCCAAGTGCCTCAGGCGACCTCAGAAGAGATGTGAGGGCGTGGGTCAGGAGTGTAGAACGTGCGGTAATCACCAGTGCTTGCCGATCAGTGTACGTTGTTCATTGGTCGAATGCTGGCCTGTACTCCTGTGAATCATCATTGTAGAGATGCCATGCGCTGAGGGCCCTCGGAAGCCCCTGAGTGTCTTGGTGGATTCCGTAAGCAAAATACCGTGGTCGGTGTGCCCCCATATGTTCCCCTCCACGTTCATGTATTGCGCGCCCCGCGTCGTCGCCCTCGCAGTGCGCCTCGGGGGCGCGGTTGGAACACGTTGTTTCACGATTGTCCGTGTGGGGGCGCCAAAACCTTGATGCTTGCGCAGGTCTTGTGGGCGCGGGCCGCCTGGGCGCAGCAGCGGCAGCGGCGGCGCCCGGGGCAGGGGCAGCCGCGGCGGGGGCGCCTGGATCATCGCGCGCCCTGATGAATTCAGGCAATGCCGGTGCGGGAGCGGGGTGGCCGGGCCCAGCAGGGGCGGCCGGGCCCAGCTCCTTTTCTTTTCTCTGTGGGGGCAAGCGCGCGGCGTCGGCCCGCGTCGTAAACGGGCGCGCGCCGACGCATGGCCACCTCATGGCGACGCCAATGTTGCGCGCAACGCCTTCGGCCTGCGCGGACGCGCGACCTCTTTTCTCGCGCCCGGCCAATGGCGCGGCGCCCATATTCAGACACAATCGATTTCTCGACTTGCTGTCGTCGAGGTCCCCGCAGCACTCGATTGCGCGATCAGCCCGTGGATCCTGGCCGGTGGCGATGCGAATCAGCCATGTCGTCGTAGAATCGCGCATCGCACCCCAACCGCTCCATCAGGGTAGGCGCAGGCCTGAACTTAATACAGAGCTGGAAAAAAAAAACACCTGTCAGGACGTAGGGGTCACCCGGCGGCAAGCCGAAAGGGGCGATTCCAATGAGGAGCCTAGCGCTGTGTTCATCTGCACTTTGTCGCGTGTAATCCGCCATCTTCGCGCCGCCCGTCATCTTCATCGCCCTCTTCCCACGTCGACTGTCAGGGTCCCGATCAGCGCTCCCGAGCAAACCGACAGCATCCCAGGGGCAATTTCTCTCGGATCCAGACGCGCCTCCTGGGCGCGCTGGCGATCTTTTCCTGGGCAGGAGGCGCGCCCCTGGAAACAATCACAATGCCCACCCTCGCCGCGATGACGTGGAATATTTGCGGGGCACGTCCTGGCATCTGCGAATTGGTTTCTAACTCGCAGGGCTCGCGTTGCCATCGGGATCGGCTGCAGAAAGGTCGGTGGGAATCTGGCCTGCGAGGGCGCGACCAACTTCGGTCGGCGCAAGGTGCTTTAACGATCTCGACGTCAGCAACTTGTGAACTCTGGCAGATCAGAGTCGATCGGATCGGCGGCAGATCCCATCGAGCTTCCAAGCCCCAAGCTGGCTGATAGATCGATGTCCTGAATTTATCCATGCCGTGCGAGATCTTCTGGAGCCCTGGAAAAGAAAACGGAAACCGGGTCGTCCAACGGGGTCGCAGACGCAACCCCCGTTGGGTCCTCTAGGGGCACCTGGGGGCCCATCTCGCGACCACTATCCGCCGCTGGACCCCCATCCTGCCCCGGCGAATCCACCGCGCTGGGGCCGGAGTGCACTGGCGCAGATGCGGCGCCGAGGTACTTTTAGACAGACAACTGGAGAGCATCATGGACGCAAATGAGTCATGGACGCAAATGAGTCCTGATCACCAAGTCGACACTCTAGAAAAGCTATTCACGGGAATTCCCACGGTGGCGACGAAAAATCATAAAACACTATGCAGGGGGGTACCAAAATCTGGCGGCCGACGCCCCTGACACAAAGTAGGTGGTACAAAAAAACTGGCGGCGAGACATTGCACAAATGAAAGGTGTCACTGAAAAAAAGGACGACGACCGACTCTGCACACACTATGTGTAGTATACGATGCTAGCAAAATAACATATTTGAAAACAAGTATAGAAAACGCATTCACTTTACGCATGTAATAAACAAATGCTTACGCCACTCACGCCACTCACGCCCGATCCGAGCCCGAGCCCGAGCCCGAGCCCGAGCTCGCCCTCCCTATTATATTATCCCCCTTTCCTCCTGATACCCATCACACTCATCTCTTGTCCTCCTACTGTGTTTTCCTTCTCCTCCTCCTTTTCCTCCTCCCCCCAGCATCCTCTCCCCCTCCTTATCC